CGTTTTAGGTGTATAGGGGCACCGCGCACAGGCACCAGAGCGTCTTCTTGGACAGACCCCTGCTTCGTCCTGCGTTGACGTCCCCTGTCCCTTCCTACACTCTTGGTCCTAAGCGTGTTTGGCTGCGTATAGTGACCTCAGCTTTACTGGTTTCCATCTGCACTTTCTTTAGGAGAAAACCTCCCTAGATTTTCCATCTGTTCACGTGCAGCCTGTGTGTCCCTGCACTGGACCAGAGTCGCCTGCACGGAGACGGGCCTTATTTTTAATCTTTCAGCCGCTCTGCCTCGATCGGAGAATTTATTCCATTTACATTTAAAGAAATGACCGATAGACAGGCACCTACTGCCATTCTGTGCATCGCCTTCTGGCTGCTCTGTGACTCCCTGTCCCTCCTCCGTCTCGTGCTCTCCTACGTAATGATTGGCCGACAGTGTCGGACGGTGACATTTGTTTGTCCTTTGTGTGTCTGCTACGGACTTCGCTTCCTGGTTGCCGTGCAGCTTCCATGAGACAGCGTGTTCGGAGCCGTCTATGTTAAAGTGGCGGCCCCTCGTCCGCGTCCCCCGGCGCCCCCTCCCTGCACAGGACGTCAGGCCAGCGCGGCCGCCCCGCCCCCGCCCCGTCTCCCCGGGGCCCCATGAGAATGGGCTTCTGCCTCTTGGGTCTTTGGCTGCTCCACCCCGGCGGTGCCCCGGGAGGGGGAGGGGGCGTTGGCGCACGGACTGGCCGCCCCTGCAGGCCCCCCAGGGCCCTCGTCGCAGTGGCCGAGCTGCGCTGCCAGCCATCCCTGCGGGTCCCTCGCGCCTCCTCGCTGGAAACGGTCCCTTTGTAGGTGACCCCCCATTACTTCCTTGTCGGACTGTGATAAGCTCTTCGAGGGAGGGGACGGGTTTTGTTGACACCTCTAGCATGTCCAGTACCCAGTAGGAGCTCCGCAGTTCTACACTGGACAGGTGGGCGGACAGACGTGCGGACGGCCGGCCGGGCAGATGGACGATGGCGGGAGGGGCGGGTGGGAGGGGGGACGGGCTGAGGGCACCCTCAGGATCGCCTGCCCGGGCCTCTCGGTCGGCCCTGCCTGGTCCCCGGTGGAAGCCCGCGGGCTCGGCCTGCTCTGGGCCCCTGGTGCCCTCACCCACCCCGTGTTGGCGCCCTTTGCCCCCGCGGATGGTGCGCGTCCGCCCCAGTGAGCCGCCCAGAGTGGAGCGCCCCCGGCGTGAGCGCGGGACCTGCTTGCGGCCGCCGCCTGCTGGTCTGCTGGAGGACGGGGACCGCCACGGCGCGGCTCAGCGTCCCCGGCGCCCCCGTTCCCGCCGGCCCCCCGAGGAGCGTGGGCGGCCGGGCCGTGAACAGTGACCTGTGTACAGGTTGGTGCTACGCGGCCGATAGACACTGACGCACAGCCAGTGTGGCCCGTGGGCCGCTGGCCCCTTCGGGGGCCGCTGAGGAACCCGGGGCCGCGCCCACTCTGGCCGGCACCCCGCACCCTGCGCTCGGAGCCCAGGGCCGAGCCCACGAGGGTGGCGACCCGACTTCACAGCCCCGCCCCTCCTGCCGCCCCACAGCCTCCTCTTCGCAGGCCACAGCCGCCGCTCCCAGGCAGTGCCCGCCCGCCCGGGCTCCTGCACCCGCCCCCCGAGCTGGGAGGCCTGCCTCTGCGGCCAGGGCCCGGCGCCGGGGAGCCCCTGAGGGCGGGGACAGGGCGGGTCCCCCTCTGGGCCCCGGGTGGTGGCTGGCACTGAGCCTTGCACACGTAGCGCCTACTGGGCGCATCTCCTCCTGCACGTGTCCGCTCCGGTCAACTCCACGGTGACTTCCTTCAGGCAAGGACACGGTGACATACGGGGGGGACCCCCAAAATCCTGGACTTTATTTCTAAAAAGTTGTGCATGTATTCTTACACGTTTAAACTTCAGTCACCGTTAAAGCCGCCTGCACCTACTGAGACCTTTCCCACGGCCTCAGACCGTTCCGGGCCCGGTCGGTTTCCGTGCCTGTGGTGCGCCTGCCGCTTTTCGTGCCCCGCTTCCACTTCGGCAAAACGTCTGCCCCGGAGACTTTCTCCCTCCGGGGCGACAGGAAGCGTCGCAGGAGGCGAGACCGGGGGAACAGGGAGGGTGGGCACGGGGTCGTGCTGTTCTTGGTGGGGACGGCTGGGCCCTCAGCGCGGGGGCGGGGGCGGGTGTGCTCGCCCGTCGCCCCTCACGAAGGGGGCAAGTGCGCTGAGTCTTCAGAAAAGTTCGCTGAGGCCGCACGCCGCCTCTCACAGCAACGCCCGCGGTGCCCCGACCCAGATGGGTTCCTGGAACGCTCGCCCAGCGGGGGAGCCTGGACGGCAAGGGGCCTGCCCCCCAGGAGTAATTCCAGCTCTTTGGGGTCCCCTGCGTAGGTGCTCACGTCCCCGGGGCGGGCCTGGCTCCGGGCAGTTAGTGCGCAGCCCTCGGTGTCCGGGACGGCCGGGCTTCCGGAAGGGCCTTCTTGGCCCCCCAGGACCCACACGCTCCCCTTTCTCCGGGTCCCCCCTGGGCCCCTGCCTGTCCCCTCGCACCCCTGCTTCCTGGCTGTGCTCTCGGTGGCGGCGTGTCCCTCGCACCCTGGCCTGCCTGTCCCACCGCCCCACCCACCCTGCCCCTGTGTGCAGCCAGCGCTGTCTCCCCGCGGCGGCGGGCAGCAGCGGGCCGAGGCGGCCTGGCCAGGGCTGCGGCCATGGGGCTGTGTGGCTTCGGGTGAGACCAGCCCCTCCGGGCCCTGCCTCCTCTCCCTGTGCCCGCCGTGCTGGGCGCGGCCGTGTCAGCCTCCCCCACGCTGCCCTCTGGGGCCCAGGGCGGAGGTGGGGGCGGCCCGGAGCTGGGGGAGCCGGGGGCCTGCCGGGTCACGTGGGGAGGGGCAGGGCGTGTGGCGTCCACGGATAGGACCTGTTTGCAGGGGCCTTGTGAAGCAGGGTCTGGGCAGAGCCCCCCAGGCCATGCGCCCTGCACACAGGACATCGAAGCGGCCGCCTGGGCAGGCAGCCCGGACACCGCGCTGTGTGGCCACCAGGCCCGGGACCGCTGGTCTCCTCTCGGCCTCAGGAACGGCAGACGCTGGAACAGCCGCTGTTGCCAGGCGAGCAGGGCGGGCTGCTGGCCTGGGCGCTTCGGGGTCCCCCCACCCTCCGACCGCTCGAGTCCCTTGGGCTCCTGTGGCCTCAGAGGCCCAGCCCTGTCTGCTTGGGCTCCCCCGGGCCCTCGGGAAGGGTCTGCCCTGCACAGAGGGCCGGGCACCTGCCGGGCAGAGGGCGTGGTTGGGAGGCTGGCCCAGCCCCCAGGGCTCGGGACGGGCACAGGAAAGGACCTGTCCTCCTCAAAGCCTGACGCGGGCCCCTGGGTGGGACGAGGGGGCCCCGTGGCTTCGGAGCCTGGAGGACCGGGGCCGCAGAGGGGGCTTCGTCTCTGGAGAGTCTGGGCCCCCAGTCCTGCGGGCAGGTCCCTGGCTGTGCCGCTCACTGAACACGGGTCACACCTGCTGGGCTGGGTCGGGGTCTGCAGGGGGAGGCAGGCTCGGGGCCCCACACCCCGAGGACCGCGGGCAGGGCGCCAGGGCACTTTCCCGGGGGGCGGGGCTCCTGCCACCGCCGGGGCCGCCCCTCCCCACGCCCCCTCCCCCCGCCTCTCCGGCCCACACGCCCGCACACACAGCCCGCACACAGCCCGCAGGCCCCTCAGCTCCGGCTCGGCACACCCTGTCACAGTCGGCCCCACGCGCGGCCACGGGCCAGGCCCAGCGCCTCACCCCCTCCTGCTCCTCCCCAGTGTCACTCAGGGTCACTCCCATTCTGTCCCAACGAGCGCTCTGTGACCGGGCCCCTCCCCAGGCTCACACCAGTAAAGCCACCCCGTCAACCAGACGCAAGAGAAACCCCAAAGCTCCCCCTAAATCCCACATTGAAAACCCATACAAACAAGCTTGTGTGTTTTTTCCTTTGCAGAATTTTTTTTAGTAGACATAGTCTTTTTTTCTTTCTCGTTTTACAGCAAACATTGCAAATATAGAGATATTTCTTCTGTACATAGGATGCCAACAGCGCACAGTGTGGAGGGCTGAGCGCGCCCCGGCCGCCACAGGCACCCCGCCCGCCCCGAGGCCACTCAGCCGCCGGCAGTCCCTCTTCGGTGGCCTCCAGGCCCGGCAGCCCACAGACCAGCAGGGGCGGAGCTCCTGGGAGGAGCCGGGGGCCACGCCCCTCACCTGGTGTTTGTCTTTTTAAGAGAACTTTACTTTTATTATGTTTTTTTAAAAAGGAAGAGAGAGAAAGAGAGGAAAAGAAGGCAGAGAAGAATCAAAACAGGAAAAATACTGAAAAAGAAATTCCCCCTCCCCCACCCCCATCCCTAAGACACAGTTTTCCGAAGTCCCTTGTGTGTGTGTGTGTGTGTGTGTGTGTGCGCGCGCGCGCATGTATGGGATGTGTGCAGTGTGCGCAAGCAATGTGTATGTATGCAATGTGTGCACAGTGTGTGTGCAGGCAATTGTGTGTGCGCGCGCACGTATGGGGTGTGTGCAGTGTGCAAGCAATGTGTGCGCACACGCGTGTGCATGTAATGTGCAGTGTAGTGTGCACGCAGTGCGCACACACGTGTGCATGTATGCAAGGTGTGTGGTGTGCACACACAGCATGTACATGTATGCAGTGTGCACACAGTGTGTGCAGGCAATGTGTGTGCACCCATGTGCGTGCGTGCGGGGACAGGCTGCTCACACCGCAGGGCAGGCCCGGCTGCCGCGGTGCCATCGGTGTCCCCTCCCTGCTCTCCCCGCAGGGCCCTCGCCTCACCCGCCGATACGTGCGGGCCCCGCGTCTGCCCGTGTCTGCGTCGCGTGTCTGTGTGTGTGTGTGTGTGTGTGTGCGCGCGCGCGCGCGGTGCGCGAGAGTCTCTGGGCCACAAAGCCCTGTGGTGAGTCCTGTGTTCTTTTTGGTCCCGTGGGCGTCACGAGTGCCGGGCATGGCGCGCGGGGGCTCAGGACTTGTGCTGGGCCGACACGCCCTTCCAATAGTCCAGGATGTCGTGCAGGTCCTCGTCCTTGGCGAACTGGACCTTCTTGCGCAGCGCGTGGCCGGCCGCCACGAACTCCTCGTCGTCCTTGTGCCGCCGGCGGCTCAGGCGGAAGCGCTCCCAGATGCTGTGGGAGGCCCGGCAGGTGTACTCGGGGCTAGCGGTGTAGCTCAGGTGGCGGTACTGCGGGGACAGCTGTGAGTAGGCCAGGTCGCGGGGCCGCGGCCGGGTCAGCGGCTCCAAGATGGACGCCTTGCGACCGCCCAGGCCCTCGTGGGGCGGGGGCGCGGGCGGCGCGGGCGGTTCGGGGGCGTGGGAGCCGGGGTAGGAGTGCCGGTGCTCGCCGTACGGGCGGCCGGCCTCAGCCCGCAGCGCGGCGGCCGTGGGCGTCACAGTGAGGATGGCGTCGGCCCCGGGGGAGCTCTTCTCGATGTACTTGGCCTCAGCGGCGGCCTTGTGCGCGCCAGGGGCCTCGGTGCCGAAGGCCCTGGGGCTGCGCGTGGAGCCGCTGGACGAGGTGCTGGTGCGCGGGGCCCCGGGCGCCGCCTCCGCGCTGTGGTGGCGCTGCAGGCCGTGGCCAAAGGCGTCCTTGTACGCGGGCGACAGGAAGCCCTGCTTGCCGGCCCGCGGCTCGGACAGCAGCACCAGCGGGGGCTCAGCACTGGCCACAGCCCCCGACTTGCCGCCCGGGAAGGCGGCGGCCTCGGACTTGAGCGCGTCGATGCAGTTGTTGATGATCTGGTTGACCTTGTCCACCTCCTTGGCGATGGTGGAGATCTCGGCCACGGAGCCCTGGCTGTCGGGGCCGGGGCGGCCCAGGTCACAGTCCCTGCGCTCAGCCGGCTCCCCCGTGCGCACCTCCAGGTAGGTGCCCTTGCTGGCCTTGGGCGTCTCGCTCTCCCCCAGCTTGTACGGCTCCGCCTCGCCGCCGGCGGCCGGCATGAAGGGTAGCCGGGTCACGGCCTCGGGGCCCAGCAGCGGGCCCTGGGACAGCGGGGCCAGGCCGGGCGCCTCCAGCTCCGGCCCGTACTTGAGCTCGATGATGGTCTTCTTCAGGCTGCCGGCCGCCGCGGCCGCGGCCGCCGTCTTGTGCTTCTCCTCCTGGCGCCGCCGCTTGCGCAGGCAGTAGTAGACGGCGCCCAGCACCAGCACCATGCCGAAGAGGCAGCCCAGGATGGTCATGATGTAGTGCGTGGCCGTGGAGGGGCTGGGCGCGGGGCCCGGCGGGCTGGGCGGCTTGGGCAGGCAGAGCGTGACGCAGGTGTGGTTGTGGAGCAGCCCGGAGCTGGTGGACACCACGCAGTAGGTGTAGTTGGTGAGCGTGTACAGGTTGGTCAGACGGATCTCCTCCTGCGGCTTGGTCAGCCGCGAGACGGTGGACGGCCGGCTGTTGTTGAAGTGCTCCAGCGTGTACATGCGGTTGAACGGGCTGGGCAGCCGGACCGTGATGGTGGCCGAGTTCTGCGTCAGCTGCTTGACCTTGATGAGGGGGCGCACCTCGGCCTGGGTGGCCAGCGTGGGCAGGGCCACCAGCGGCGTGGTGCCGTCGCCGGAGAAGCAGTCCTCGTCGGCGCAGGGGCCCTCGCTGGGCTCAGGCGGCGGCGGCGGGGACGGCGCGCGGCCGGGCAGCGGCCGCTCGGGCGGCGGGCGGGGCTCGGGCGCATCGTCGCCGTCGGTGCACACGGACTGCAGCGTGCCCAGGATGCTGCGCTGGCCGTGGCGGCCCCGGCCCAGCAGGAAGTAGCCGGCGTAGGGCGGCGGTGCCTCGCACTGCATGCGGTCGTAGGTCTGCGTGGCATTGGTGAAGACGGCCAGCCAGCGCAGGAAGCCCAGCAGGTCGCAGGAGCAGAAGAAGGGGTTGCTGTAGAGCTCGCAGGCGGAGAGGCGCGGCAGGCCCGCGAAGGTGGCGCTGTGCAGCCGCTGGATGCGGTTCATGGACAGGTCGACGTTGACGATGTTGGGGCACTCCCAGAAGGCGCCGGGCGTGACCACCTCGATGAGGTTGGCCTGCAGGTACAGGTACTCCAGCTTGCCCAGGCCGCGCAGCGCGCCCTCTGTCAGATTGCGCAGCCGGTTGTAGCCCAGCTGCAGCACCTGCAGGTTGAACTGGCCCGAGAAGGCGCCGTCCTCGATGTAGGCGATCTCGTTCTTGGTGAGGTTGAGGTACGTGAGGTTGCCGAAGCGGCTGAGCGCGGCGTACTGCACGCTGTGGATGCGGTTCTCGTTGAGCCGCAGGTCCACGATGGTGCTGTTGATGTGCTGCGGGATGGCCTCGTAGGGCGGCTGGTTCTGGCTGCAGATGGCCAGCCACACAAAGCCCTTGTCGCCCTCGATCAGCCAGCAGTCGGCGCGGGCCAGGCCGCCCGCGTGCAGCAGGGCGGCCGCCACCACGCACACCCACAGCAGCGCGCCCCAGCGGCAGCGGGCCATGGGGACGGCCATCGCGGGGGACCCCGCGGCGCCTGCCCAGGGAGGCGGGGGCGGGGCTGGGCGGCAGCCCCGGGAGAAGGTGGGGAGGGCACCCACACGCTCAGCGGCGTCCTGTGCCCGGCCGCATGGTCACGCGGCGGGAGCTGGGAGCGCGCCCCTCATGGCCGGTCGCCGCTCGGCGTCTGCGCGCGGTGTGCTGCCCCCGCCATGGCGTCCTTCCCCGTCGGCCTGCGCGTCCGGCAGCTGCGCCGCGTGCTTCTGGATCGGCGGCTCCTGCGGGCGACAGAGGAGAACCCGTCAGGGGGCGGCTGGCGTCCCCCGGCCCCGGGTCGCTGCGGCCCCAGCTCGGCTCAGCCACCCGCCGACACCTAAAGCCACTCAGCCGAGGGGTGACACGGATGCCCCCTCCAGACGCAGCCGTCTCTGTCCCCCGAGGCCAGGCCCGGGCTCCCGCAGCCGCCGGAGACCTTCCCGAGCCCCAGCTCCACTCCAGGGGCCGCAGGTCAGGCGCCCGGACGGCGCGGCCTGGTCCCCCTGCCACTGTGGTCCCCAGGCCCCCACACCCCCGCTCTGACCACGCCGCCCCAGGCCGGCTCCTCCCTGCGGGGTGACGAACGGGCCGCGGCACCCTGTGCGCGCCCCCAGGGGCCGGCGCAGAAGCGAGGGCGTGGCTGTTGGACAGGTGCGTCTGGGGAGACGTGGCCTCCACCCCCAGGGTCCCCCCTGTGGGGCTTGCCCCCCGGCCTGCGCGTTTCTCCCGCCAGCCAGGCAGGCCGGTGGGTGCGCGGCCGGTTCAGCGGGGGGGCGTTTATGGCGGCCGCGCGGCGGCCGTCTGCGGGCTGCTGACACCGACTCCTGCAACCCGTCAGCACGGAGGCGGCTGGAGTCGGGGAGAAGTCTGACAAGCGATGGATTCCCGCCCCCCCGCCCCAAACCTGCAGGGAGAACGGTTTGATCTGGGTCCCCAGGGGAGCCCGGCTCGGATTTACAGACAGAGAAGGGATGGGGTGGGGGAGGGGGCGGTGGAGCTGGGTCACCCCCAGCCCCGCAGCGTGTGCCTGTGTGCCTGCCCAGCCCCCTGGGGTTTCTGTCCTGGGCTCCGAGACCTGCCAGCAGGTGTGGGCATCGGCAGGGCTGACCGGGAGCCGGCTCCCACGGGGGCAGGGCGCCGGGAGCGGGGTGCCCAGGAAGCGTGGCGCCTCAGCAGCACCGGTCATAATCACCTTTAATCTCTTGCTCAAAATAACCCAAAGTCGGGTTAAGGAGGGTTACAGGCCCCACAGCGCCCTCGTCACAGGCGGCGCCGGCCGGCAGGGCTCCCTGCCTCTCCCTGCCCCCGCACCGCGGGGCCCACGCGAGTGTCTGTGTTGGGGGTGCACACAGCTCCATCCGAGCCCATGTGGGCGCGCGGCGCCTCCGCGGCCCCCCCAGGCCCCTGTGGCCACCACGGTCCCGCGCCTCGGCCCCCCACCCCGCTCCCCAGGTGACTGTCTAGGAACCTGTGCTCCGTCTCGGCACCTTGTGAGTGGCAAGTGGATCCGGGGAGAGTCCCCCTTCTCTGCGCACCTAAACCCCCAGCCCCTCCGTTTAGCTGGCTCCTGCGATGAAGGGGGCAGGTGGAGGCGGGCCCCGGACCGGGCCTGTCCCCTCCCCCCGGCCCCCCCAGTTCGCTCTCGCCTTGGTGCCCAGCACCTGCCCCCAGAGCCTGGGCCGGGGCAGCCAGGCCTGCGTGCTGGACAGATGGACGGATGGACAGGTGTCCTCAGCCTCCCGCCTGTCCTCGGGTGGGAGGACCTGCTGGGGAGAGGATGTGACCCTGGGGGCTGCCCCTGCCCCCACGGCCCCCAGCTCTCGGCCTGGGGCAGGTCCCCGCTCCACGCCTCGCGGAGTGGGAGTGGGGGGAGCAGAGGCCCAGGCGGGGCGGGGGGAGGGCGCCTCATCTCAGGTCACTCAGCAAGTCGCCCCGGAGGCTCTGGGGGCCCCCGGGCCTGCCACAGGCGGGTCCCAGGACACAGCCGCCTGGGGCGTGGCCGGGTCACCCAGGACGGTTCCGATCCGATCAGGGACAGTCCCCAAGGCCGCCCTTCCGGGCTTCACGCCGCTCGCTGCCCTGTAACTCCCGGGCCCCACCCTGCTGCCCCCCCACGTGTGAGCCGACACACGCCCGTCCTGTGCGCCTGTGCGCTGACGTCCTCGGCCTGCGACACACCGGCGTGGACGTCCCCGACGCCCCCTCCTCTCCCACGGCGTCTGCGCACAGGGGACAGCGGCCTGCCTTCCACAGCGGCGGGACTGCCGGGCACAGCGGCCCCTGCGGGGAGTCCAGCGGGGAGAGGTGCCAGAGCCGCCGCCCGAACCCCCCCGCCAGGCCTCGGGGTCCCCGCCCGCAGCGCGAGGTGGGCGGCCGTGCCCCCGAGGGCTCTGCCGGCACAGCCAGGCCCCAGGGTCCCTGGCCAGAGCCCCCTGTGCTGCCCGCGTCCGCACGCACACCCCGCACCGCAGGGAGCCCCGCTTTCGCGAGACGAGGGGGCCAGTGCGCGTGGGGCCGGCCCGAGTCCGTCCTGCCACTCGCCGACGCTGCAGCCTGTGTCTCCGCTAATGAAACAAAGAAATATGGCGGTTCCAGGCTTTTAAACTGCTTATGACTGGATTTGCATAATCGTCACAGCGAGCCGGGACGGGGCGGCATCTGCTAAAAGCACTGCTCGCCACCTCGGTCACCGAGCCCTGACGGACCGAGCAGCGAGCCGCGTGGACCTCGCCACCTGCCGAGGGAACCACGGGCCGCGGGGGCCGGAGCGGGGAGAAGGTTCTGGACCGGTCACTTTTCACCGGTCCAGGGCTTCCCCGACCGATCAGTCGTGTTCAGTCCTGTGTCCGCCCGGCTCTCCCGCGGGGCGCAGACGCGGGCCGCATGGCTGAGGGGCGCCGCCCGCTCTGGCCCTGTGACCCTGGGCCGGCCCCTCCAGCCCCGGGAGCCTGTTCTCTGTCGCAGGGACCCCAGCACGCGAGGCTCCGGCCCGCGGCCCGGTGCCCAGGGCAGGAGGCACACAGCTCAGGGCAGCGCGGGTGGCCTGGCCTCCCGGCCGGACGCCCCTCGTGGTTCTCCCCTCGGCAAACCCAGCGGGCCAGCCAGCACCGTCCCAGCCAGAACCGCCCGCCCCTCCCGGGCTCCCCATCCACCGAGGAGGCTGGCGCGGGTCCCGCAGTGGCCGCCCCGGCTCTGCGGGCTCAGGGGGACCCTCGTCTGTGGCCTTGTCCTCTGTGGGGAGGGGGAGGGGCTGCCACCTGCGCCACACACGCCCCCCCAAGGATGCCGCGGGCACAAGAGGGTGAAGGACGGGGCCCGAGGAAGGTGCGGAGAGGCTGCCACCTGCGGTGACCGCGGGCGGGCCTGCCCTGCCTTCCCGGAGGCTGCGGGAGCTGGCAGGGGTGGCTGCTCCCTCCCTACAGGGTCCCCTGCACCCCAAGCCCTGTCTCCAGTCCCACAGGCTCAGGCATCGGTGTGGCCCCATCAGAAGACAGGGATGCAGAGGCCCGGGGGCGGGGAGGAGGGGCTGCCGCGGGGGAGAGGCAGATGTCCCGGCTGAGGGCCATGGACACAGCCCCGTCGTCCCCCCGTGCAGCCTGGTAAAGACGCAGGTCCCGAGTCCCCAGGGGGCCCTGGAGCCGGAGCCCAGGGCTGTGTGTCTGCCCCCCGCCCCGCGCCCCGTCGTGGCCCCAGGGAGGACGCCGTGCTCCCTCCTTCCCTCCCTCCGCCCGCAGCTCCAGGCTGCAGAGTTAATTAGGAGCCCAAACACTTAATGGTCTGTTAGCCTTCCACTGGGCATCTTTTTAAATTAAAAAACATGATGTGCAGCATCGCTGGAGGGAGAAATCACCCGGCAATGGTCTCCGGCTCCCGTGTGGCAGGGACGCGCGGGAGACCGGCAGCTGGCTGGCCACCAGGGGCAAAGGGCGGCGCGCGGCCCTCCTCGGGGGCCCCGGCGCACCCCAGCGCCGGGAAGCATGCCGCGGGAGCCAGGCAGGGGTCTCGGCGACCGCAGGCCGGCTGGCACTGCTCCCATCCAGCCCTCACACCCTGGCAGCGGGAAGTCCTATCTTTAGTCTGACCTGAATCTCTCCGCTCGTCTTGAGGGACGGCCGCTTGGAGGTTTCAGGCAGAGGTTTGTTGGTTCGGCAACTCCCAGTAGAGCCTTGACCATCCAGCGCCCCAGCTCTGGGGAGCCCTTGGTCCTAGCCTGACGGGGGGGCAGGACCCGGACGCGGGGACACCAAGGTGCAGCGCCCTGCCCCCCCTCCGCCGTCACCACCACCAACCCCGCTGCCCTCAGGCCCCTGCACACGCAGGTCCCGCCTCCCAGCCCGAGGTCGCAGTGCGAGAACATGGCCGCTGCCCGTTGTATTAAGACCACGGGCCTGGCTTCGATCAGAGGCTCTAAGTCAGTGACCAGTTCCCAAACGTCACGGGAATGAGGGCAGTAAAGCACCAGGCAAAGTCCAGCCTGAGGGATGTGCGGTGGCACTGGCCGCTGTGGGGTGTGCGCGCGGGTGGCTGCCCCGCCGGGGTCAAGGCCGCAGGACCGGGTGGGGGCAGACGCCGCGGCCCCCTCGCCACACTGTTTCCCCCTCCACGTCAGACACGGGCGCTTTCCTGTGTATTCTGGACAGTTCCGTCGCAAGCCTCGGATCCCGGCGCAACGCCGCCAGGGGACCCCCTTCCTGATGCCCCGGGCTCTCGCGGCCACCACACGTGTGGACGGTTCACGACCCCGGCCCCGCGCAGGCGACACCGCAGCCGGGAGCACCACGGGCGCCGCGGCCCTGGTCTGGACGCCCCGCCCTGGGTGCCCAAGGGGCCGCTCAGGTCTGTCCTGCCCGACCCCGCACACCCCCCGCGGCCCAGGCCACAGACGCTGGTGAACGCGTGCCCTCTAATCGATGCGTCTCCCTCCGCCTGTCCCGCGACCTTGGCCGCAACACCAGACTCTACCCGTCTC